GGGATGAGTCCTTCCTGAATCTTCATTTGCAAAGAAAAGCCAGAGAAGATGTTTATTATATAAAATCATAGATTATCGCATGTGACTTATCCTGTTTTATCTCTGATGGGATAGACACACATTTAATTGTCAATGATGGATCTTACCACATTCTTCCATGGCCAGGGGTGTGCAGCCCATATTTAACCCACGCTTGTCTGTGGCTTTTCAAAAATGGGATTTTCCCATCCTTGAAAAGCTGCTGAATAAACCCAGGTTGCATACAGGCTGCATATGGCCTGCACATAGCTATGGAAGAATGAGGTAAGATCCATCATTGACAGTTAAACATGTGTCCATCCTCTCAGGGATAAGACAGGATAAGTCACATGCGATAATTTCCATAGATATACAAACCTATCCAGTCCCTTTAGGACTTGTCCGTGGACATGAGAATGTCTGGGTGCATTACAACTGTATGGCAGGTAAGGCATTAATTGTTGCTGTGTGCAAGTTGTTTCCAACTTATGGTAATCACTGGATTTCCTTGGCAAAATTTGTTCAGGGGAGATATGCCATTGCCATCCTCTGATGCTGAGAGAGTTTGACTTGCCCAGGGTCACCCAGTGGGTTTGCATGGCTGAGCCAGGATTCGAACCCTGGTCTCCAGAGTCCTAGTCCAACGTTCAAACCACTACACCATTCTGGCTGATAAGTCAGCTGTTAGAGTTAGTTGGAAGAGATCTCAAGGGTCATCCAGTTGAATCCCCTTCTGCCATGCAGGAATTCACAATCAAAGCACCCTCAACAGATGGTCATCCAGCCTCTGTTTAAAAACAGCCTCCAGAGAAGGAGACTCTACCATGCTCTGGGGGAGTGTGTTCCACTGTTGAACAGCTTTTACCATTGGGAAGTTCCTCCTAATGTTGAGCTGGATTCTCTTTTCCTGAAGTTTGATTCCATTGCTCTGAGTCCTATTCTCTGGAGCAGCAGAAAACAAGCTTGCTCCATCTTCAATATGGCATCCCTTCAGATACTTAAACAGGGCTATTATATCACTCTTTGGCCTTCTCTTTTCCAGGCTAAACATACCCAGCTCCCTAAGCCGCTCCTCGGAGGGCATGGTTTCCAGACCCTTCTTACACCATATAGCTTAACCACTTGTCTCATTCACCCTAATGGGAACTATGATCTATCTGTGGAGATTATTGCACCGCTAATAAAACCAGTTTACCTGAGCTGGCTTAAAATTTAAAATGGGCGGCATCCTGATGTTATCAGAAGGAATTACCGTAGCCACCGAAATCACCGCCCGGGTCCATCCCAGGTCCATCCCTGTTCCCAGGGGTGCTCAGCATGCCTCTTTTCAAAGCTGGGCGATTTCCGTGGCTAAATCTTTCTGATACCATCAGGATGCCACCCATTTTAAATTTTAAGCCGGCTTAGGTAAACCAGTTTTATTAGCGGTACAATAATCTCCTGTGTGTGTTGTGTGCCTTCAAGTCCTTTCCAACTTATGGTGACTCTATCATGAGGTTTTCTTAGCAAGATTTGTTCAGAGGAGGTTTGCCATTGCCTTCCCTTGAGGCCGAGAGCATATGACTTGCCCAAATTCACCCACTGGGTTTCATGGCTGAGCTGGGAATCGAATCCTGGTCTCCAGAGTCCATCTTCTACCTGACATCCCTTTAGAGATATTTGAAAGCAACTATCAAGTTACCTTTCAATCTTCTCTTCTTCAGACTAATCACACCCAGGTTCCTCCAGCACCAAAGATTAAAGCTGTGTCCATACTGCAGGAATAATCCAGATTGACACCACTTTAACTACCACAGCTTAATGCTGTAGAATTCTGGGATTTGTAGCTTAGTGTAGCACCAGAGCTCTTTGATGAAGAAGGAGCAGTGTCTCACTTCCCAGAATTCCATAGCATGGAGCCATGTCAGTTAAAGTGATGTCAACCTGGATTATTTCTGCAGCCCAAAATCCAAGAAAATGGACCCAAATTACAAGCAAGGAGAATGGAATATGGACTGCCACAGAGAGTGGTGGTTTTGGAACAGTTTGGATAGGCATCTTTCAGGAGGGCTGGTAGCTGTGGGTTTTTGCAAGGCAGGGGGTTGGACTATATGACCTTTGGGGGTACCTTCTAAAATTCTATATGATAAGTCTTGGGCAAGTCACACATTCTCAGCTTCAGGAAAACCCATGAAAGGGTCACCCTTGGGTTGCCATAAGTTGGAAACGACTTGAAGCTTTACAACAAGAACGAATGTCAGTAGGAGGCCCATCAATAGGCTCCATGGCTGTTAAATGATAGGGAGCAATGAACAGTCTGTTGCAGAAGGAACAAAAATGAGTAAGTCCCTTTCTCTAATCTCTTGATTGGAAACCTTTTATATAAAGTTGCTGCTTTGTCCCCGCTCTCTTTGAAAGGTGTTCTTTCCAAGTTCCTTTTCAATGTTTCATTAGCACTGTGTCTTTTTTCACTTAACGTCCGCACCCTGGGATTCCAATAGTTGGCAATTAGGGCTCGAAAAGTTACAGATCTCTGAACAAAAGAGAGGTTAGGAGCAACAGATCCTCCAGAGCAATGGGAGGCTTCCAATTTCTTTGCCTGCTGCTGCAAATGTGTTCAGAGCCAAAGAAGCCAAATCAGATTTGGAGACTCTTTGTTATCCAGATAAGACATCCGGTCCCAGAAATGGGATTCTCAGGAATGATTCCCCCAGTGCCACCCCTGAGTCTATTCTTACACCATCTTGCAGTTTCAAGGCTTGGAAATTTCCTTTTAAGAATCATTAAAATCATAGAATGATAGAGTTGGAAGGGACCCA